TGATGTTCAGGGGGATAGGCACGCAGGGTGGGAGGACATCTTTTCTACGATCCTCGCTTCGTCAACCATCCTGGCACAGGGCAACAGAACAGAAGACCTTGAGTTGGCTGCAGGATTTATGCAGTGTTTCACTGCGCAGTCAATGTCTACGGACGCCCTGACGAACGTGCCGTGGGCAAAGGAGATCCGCCATCTGTCCGAGTTGGAGCATGACTCACTGTGGGATCTGAGCTTGCCTACTGAGTATGTCCCTGGGACATCAAGGCCGGCGGTAGACGTCGTGCCCACCATCTATGTGGTGACTTCCGATTCAACTTTGGCTCTGATCACTGGAAAGGGTAAGACTTTGAAGAAGTACACCTTGAAGGAGGATCTGGGATTGCGAAAATCAGACATGGTTCTCGAAATCGGTCATGACATGCTCTGGGGTAAGGATTTACAACAGCTCTGCAAAGCAAATATTTCCATGATCAAGGAGCTGATGGCAAAATATTCTTCTCATGGATCAGCCATCAAGGTTATTTCGGTGATCTTTTGGTCTGGAAATGAAATTTGTGGGGAATATGGTGTTGAACCCCTTCCCATTTGGGGGCAGAGGGAGCCACAGGGTGACTGGAATGCCATCATGGACAGGGTCAAAGGCAACATTGTTTGGTGGAACAATCAGCTCAAGGAGTTGGGAGTGGATCAGGCCGCCCTAATCGGCGAGCCCGACCCGCTCACTTATGGGTTGAGTCTCATCTTCACGACGTTTATTGAACGTCTGAAGGAATGGTTCCACAAGGAGATTGCCAGTGACAACGATCGGATTCGGTGGATCAAGAATGACATGCTTCCACCGAGGCTTGAGCTCAGGGACTACTTTCACGCATTCGAGACCGAGCTCAACCGAAGCGAGATGATCGGATATGTCATGGCAACTCTCCACATGCTGCACATGACGGACATTTTGATCCCTCAGTACAACCTGTCTTTGTACAAGCGCAGGCGCCCTGCAGGTGAAGCCACAATGCGCGATGTCCCGCCTAAGATGGAGCACCTCCCAGTCAGGTTTGTGCAGGTTCTCAACTCTCTCCGGGAGAAGGTGAACAAGCCTGCACCGAGTGTCTCGACCCCGGAAAGCTTTACAGCGGAGGAGTTGAGGGATCGCCCGACTGATGCTGGTGTCGCCGAAGATGATGATGAGGAAGGCGACCCATGGGATGCTCTGGATCCCGATGAGCACGAGGGCCCATCTGTTGGCAAAGCCAAGGCGAGCCACGCAGCTCCGCCTGACCCCAAGGCGAAACCTCAGACGACGCAGGAGGATTCAACTCAGGCCACCTCAGCTGGTGAGCCCCTGCAAGAAAACGAGATCAAGGGTACCATCATTCCGAAACACGCACTTGGACACCTTGACAAATATCGCATCACTTTGGATGAAAACATAAATGCAGAAGTAGTTGAACATTGCGTCGTTGATGCCCATCCCTACGAATTGATCGTCAAAACCTGTTGGGAGATGGATGGTGCAAAGGAGCTGAAGTACCCAGATCGCATGGACCGACACAAGACCAAGGTCAATGCAGTGACGCGTGGACAGCCGGGTCAGGACACCTCTGGATTTGATGAAAACATGTGGCTTGACCTTGATGACTTCTTTCGAATGTTCAACCAAATGCTGCCAGCCAAGTTGCCCCGAATGACAGTTGAAGAGCTCATCTCATTGCTCTACTGGGACAACAAGTGCCGTTTTGAGTTCCAGTGCATTGCCGGGTACCAGAAGGCAACCCGTAAAGGGTTAGCCTACTGGCCCATCAGGATCCGCGCAGTGCAGGGGCATACAAAACGTGCCATGGATGCCGCTTCAGCTGAGGACACGTTCAACGCAGTGGAAATCTACGCTCTGTCTGGTGCAGCAGCGATCCAAAAGATGAACGCCAAAGGTAAAAAGATTACCACTCCTCAGATGTGCCCTGGCGTAGTTTATCACAGGACTACAAAAGGCAATTGGAAGGGCATCATTGAGAATGGCTTCGTGGCTGGAGGAGGAGAACGAAATTCGTCAGGAAGAGCTCACTCCTATTTTAGCGACGTTCGTGTTGATGAGAAAGAGTATGTGAGTGGTTTGCGTGCTGAGCGACCCATTGAAATCAGGGTTGCAATGGCAGAAGCTGTCAAGGCTGGAATTGTGTTTTTCAGGACGGCTTCTGACGGCATTCTCACAAGTGATGTCGTCCCGCCACAATACATCATCTCTGTGGACGACACGGCAAAGAAGGTGAATCTTTATCGTCGCCAACAGGAGGTAGCGCAGTCTGCAGCAAGCAGTGGGGGAGAAGTTGGAGTCCAACAGCTTGTCGAGACCTTTGAGGCCAAGGCATCAAAAAGGACAGGTTCCACATCTCCGGCCGCCTCAACTGGCGCGCCCACTGCAAAGACATTTTTCCCAGGGAAGGTGAAGCCTCCGCCACCAAATGTGGCCCAACTTGCCGGTATGCCTGGATATGCAAGCAGCAGACTGTTGCCCCCTCCTCCAAAGGGTGAAGCTCCGAAACCTCCTGAAGCAAAGGTTGAAGGACCGAAGACACCGCCAAAGGTTGAAGGACCAAAGACACCTCCAAAAACACCACCGAAGGAAGGGACTTCTGCACCTCATGCACCAGAAGTTCCAAAAGCTGTGACCTCAGAAGTTGATGCAGCGGCAAAGGATGAACCTGCAAAGAAGAAGGCAGCCCTAACAAGCGTGCCAACAGCTGTGCCTGCGGCATCATCTGCTGCGGCCTTCTTGGAGCCTGTTCCAAAAGTTGCACCACCAAAGGCAGTGCAGAAAGATCCGAAAGCTCCAGTTGCAGGGTCACCCAAAAAGACGCCAGCAGCAACGTCAAAGTCACTGGTGCCAAAGCAGAAGTCTCGCCCTAAAGGCGATGACCAACCTTCAAAGAAAGAGGTGAAGAAGGAGAACAAGAAGCCGGTGCCGGTCAAGATCGAAGTCACGCAATGTTCAAGATGTTTTGCACAGACTTTCAAGGGACAGATTGAATGCGATGTGTGTGGATTGATGCTCGAAGGGATCAACAAGGCCGACCGAACCAAGATTGCAGAACGTAGGAAGGCCGCCCTTCACAAGCTGGGCTTGTACTATGATTTTCGTGGTGAGTACCTGCAGAGCATCACACACGATCAGCTTGAATCTTTGGGTTTGTTGGACGACCAGGCAAGGGGAAGCTCAAGTCCGGAAGCCGGCCTATTGGCAAGGGCCAAGAGTCGCTTCGACCGTGCCTTGAGTTTAGGCTATGTGTCTGTGGCTGACAGGTTTGCCCAGGACGCCACATTCGCAGAGAGCGTGTTGAACGAGGGGGAGAACGAGTACGATTGTGAAAGGTACGACCTCCTCAAGTCTGCACATTTGCCAAAGCCGGGTCGCACCAAAGCTCAGGTCAAGATGGGTATTTCTGAGCAATCCCAGCTGGAGCACAATGCAATGAGGCTGGTTTACTTGGATTTGGCCAGTCGCTATGATGTCCCAAAGTCTTTCAGGTACATCGACCAGCCATGGTTCTACATGTACCGAACCGAGATTACTCCGAAGAAGAGTACATTGACTACCTCAACAGGAATCCTGGACACAATCTTTTGTTGTCTTGCACTGGTGTTGACAACATTGCTGTTCATGATGCTGAACGCCCATTTGAGGTGGATTAAGGGACAAAATGAAGAGCTGTACAAGCAGAACGCAGCAGAGAAGAAGAAACAGTCTGACAGGGCCCGCGAACAAAATGAGGCCAAGCGCAAAGCTGAGCAGACTGGTGCGTATGGCCAAGGTCCCTCCAAGAAAGGCACCGCCAAACCGGTTGCCCGACCATCCACAGGCGTAGAGGTAGCTTCATCATCAACGTCTGCAAGTCAGTGGATCAACCGCCCTCAGCAAAGTCAGTCCCACGATGATCGCCGCTACACTGGAGAATGGCAGAAGTGGCACGGACGCTGGTATGAGAAAGTCATCAGGCATGGGCGTGTTGAGTGGGAAGAGGGATAAGTTGTGACACTGCTTGCATCGACGATCGGTTTTTGAATAATAGCCGCCGAGTGTGTTTTTCCTTGGGTTTGCGAAGAGCCAGTTCGGTGAGGCAGGTCTTAAAGACCTCGCCCTGGTAAATGAGGCATCCTCGCCGTAACCGGCTCACCTGAGGGGGGTGTAAAAGCACCTCACATAAAAACACATGTATAATAGATACATAATACAGCATTGCGGCTCAGAACAAAAGGCGCGAGTCGCTAGCTTAACGGTTGCTTTGTTTCCCCATTCATAGGTTTATCAGTCTATTTGGGTATAACATAGTTTACCCCGCTGAAACCTGAAAATACAAAAACACATTCTATGATCATCATGATATTCCCAATACATTCCTATACCCATTTCATATTCTATTCCCAATATCAATGGGAGATCTTCAGGACCCAATTGATGGAGGTACGTAAACGTACCATATGTTTGGCCATATGAATTGTGGGGATATTCCCTGAAATTTAGGCCTGACAAAATAGGCCTTATATATGGTACGTTTACGTACCTCCATTTTAGGATCCTGAAGATCTCCCAGTTGATCATTGGTGAATATTGGATGTTACCAGCTATAAATTTCTAGAGATTTCAAGTTGCCACGAAAAAAATTACCGGAGGCTAGATTCACTATAATCATTGGAACAAACTGAAAAATCAGAAAGCATTAATCTTTCCAATACATGTTCCCAATGATATGCCTAATCCGAATCATGTTAGTGATATATTGCCCATTTAGGTTTAAATTGGGGAATATTGGGGATGTTACCGACTTCAAGGATCCAAGAACTGTAGCTGGAAATTGTGGACCCCATCAACTGGTCCCCCAGGACCCAACTATCTCCCTGTGATATTCCGGTGATATTCCGATGATATTCCCACGAAAAATGCCCATCATTCCCATCACGACGGGCACCGGATCCGCCACGACGATTCACGGATCCGACGGGCGCCCCAGGTGGGTGTGGTGGGCGCCACGGGCGCTGTCGGAGAAGAAATGATCGAGGCGCCGGGGGGGGGGGGTAACCCCCATGACAAACTCCCCAAATATTTATAAGCCAAGAATATATATGGATATATTATATGGATATATATATATATATACATATATGTAAATATAGCTTTACTCCCCATAAATCTTAATATAGACCATAGCTATATCTATATTACTACCCATAGTTATATATTAATATCTTTGCTCCCCATATATAAACCAATAATAGCCAGTAATTATATCGATATGTTCCAGGTTCCGGGACACCCCCCCCCTCCCCCCCATGGTCATGGTTCCGCCCTCCCCCCTGTGGATGTGGGAGTTGGGTGGGTGAATATATGTAAATATGTATATATGTACGTATGTACATATGTAGATATGTATATATGTATATATGTATATATGTGTATATATGTGTATATGTGTATATGTGTATATGTATATATGTATATGAATATATATGTATATAGGTATATATGTATATATATATAGTATATATAGTAAAGCAACATTTATCAGATTTATCATTCATGTTCATCATGTTCTCCAGCATCTCTCAATCCATCAGTCTTGCTTTCGAAATCTCATGATTGCTTGCTGTATCTCTCCTTTTTTGTGGCTGCAAAGGTCCTTTTTTGTTTTTTTTGATCAGATTGTGGGACCATCTCCAGATGTTTCCGTCGTGGCATTTTTACTATTTATATCTATTCATGCTGGTCACCCCTATCAATTTTTTACATTTTTTTTGGGCCAGTCCTTAAACAAAAATGAATCTGCACATTTGATTTCGACCAGCCAGGTGTTGCATGCCCGGCAGTTCCCATTGACTGAGCGGCTTGGCAAAGGAATGTGACCAGAGCAATGATGGAGACAAGTAATGCACCGTTGTATTATAATGTATTATATGGAGGCTTCCCAAAATGGGGGTACCCCAAAAATGGATGGTTTATATTGGACATTCCAAACATAAAATGGATGGTTTATACTGGGGTAGTACACCCCTATTTTAGGAAACCTCCATGTATATAATATACGTATGATGAGGATTTAAGTAGCTAGAAAAATCAAATGATGGGTGACATGATGACTGAGATTTTGGGCTATCCTATTTTCAAACAAACCCATGAAAGGTGATAAATTCACTGTCATTGGTGGCTACCAGGTATCTCTTAAAAATCTCAGTTACTCTTAGAAATCTCAGCTATTGTGAAATTACTAACCAACTTATAGCAACTCCCAGTGATCGATAGAAAACACCTTGGACACCATCGAAACACATATCTAGGGAAAACACCATTGAACTAGCATCCTGGTTTCACAATGGGTCACACTCTTCAACATCTTTTTGAGGGTTGCCATACCTATCTTGGTTCACAACCCCCATGAACAGACGTGACGCATCTGCATCTGTTATAAATCCCAGTTGTTGAAATTATAGACCAATTTGCTGATATCAACAGTTAACGATATATATTTTCACCAGTTCTTGAAATATTTTTCTTGAAGTGACAAAAACCCATCCCAAAAAAATGAGAAAATGATTATCAATGGTGAACCCCATCATGAAATCCAGTACCCTCTGGTAAACTAACATAACTATTGAAAATCACAATTTTTAATGGGAAAATCCACTATAAATAGCAATTTTCAATAGCTATTTTGACATAACCAGAGGGTATTGTCGTCATGATTTCCCTATGAAATCCCCAGAAAAAATCATGGTCCAAGTCACCGAGGTTGGTCCTTTTGGCCTCCGAACGCTCAGCTGGCAAGAGCATGGCCACGGCCTACGGAGAGAAGCAGGTCCCAGCCTGGGCTGCGACTGCGTTTTATTATGGGGATACTATGGGGATTTTTGTATTTGTGGGACAACATGGCATGTAGTATTTAATATGTAATTGATATATATAAGTATACATATACATTATTGCATATATATATATATGATTATATATGTGTAGATTTTTAAGCAATACTATGATGATGATCCATATGTTCCACGGTGAAAGAGTCGAAGGTTTTTCTGCCTGTCCGCCTGGAGTGAGATGAGCCCGTAGAGGATGGTCATCACCAATTTTCAGGAGGGGAGTTGTATAGCCATTGTCAGGAATTTCGGATCATATATAGTTAGTTCAGCTAGTTGTAGAATTTTTGGATAGATATGGCTATGTAAGAACTCTCATTAATATAGATATATATATATATATTACGAAAGCCAGCTAGCTGGCTAGTTGCTGTTTGCGAACGAAGTGAGAATAGGGGGTGTGGGGGGGGGGTGGTTGCCGAAAGGGAACGAAATCTCGCCGTGCCCCTGTGTTGAGCACCAGAAAACGGAGCATTTTGCTGGATTATGTACCACTAGGTAATTTGCTGACGGTGGGGTATCGATTCCCCCTAGGTCCGCCTTTTTGGTGGCCGGAGAGACCATGAGGATGTATTGGAAAACACAATGAAACTGCAGGAAAACATGATAACGATCAGAGGAAATCGCACAAAATCCCCTGGAAAACGGACGAAAACGGAGCGAATGCTAGGAACAAACCATGGAAAATCCCTTGGAAAATGGAGGAAACCGGAGCGAATGCTAGGCGCAAACCATGACGATGCAGTAAACATGCTGGAAAAACACAGTGAAAGTGCAGGAAAATGTGATAACAACGAGAGGAAATGGTGCAAAAAGGATCGGAAAATGAAGGAGGCAGGTAAAACTCTTGGATTAATATTAATATTGAAAAGGTATGAAAATGCAGGAAACCAGAGGAAATGGTGCAAAAACCTATGGAGGAAAGAGGTGAAAATGATAGGAAACATGTAGTAAATAAAAAAATGCTGGACAAAACATATTGAAAACCCACGAAGAGAATGTATTGGAAAATACAATGAAATTTGAGGAAAACATGATAACGATCAGAGGAAAAAGCTAGGAACAAACCATGCAAAATTTGTTGGAACATGGAGGAAACCGGAGTGACTGCTAGGAACAAATTATGACGATGCAGTAAACATGTTGGGAAAAGACAGTGAAAGTGCAGGAAAATGCGATAACAACCAGAGGAAATGGTGCAAAAACGATCGGAAAATGAAGGAAACGGGAAAAACTCTTGGAAAAATACATTGAAAATGCAGCAAACCAGAGGAAATGGTACAAAAAGGAGACGGGTAAAAATCTTGGAAAAATAGATTAAAAATGCATGAATAGATTGAAAACCCACGAAGAGGATATAGAAACTGCAGGAAAACATGCTAACAATCAGAGGAAATCGTGCAAAATCCACTGGAAAATGCTGGAAAGATACAGTGAAGGAAAATGTGATAACAACCTGGCAGGAAAATGTAATAACAACCAGAATAAAGGGTGTAAAATCTGTTGGAACATGGAGGAAACCGGAGCGACTGCTAGGAACAAACTATGACGATGCAGTAAACATGCTGGAAAAATACAGTGAACGTGCAGGAAAATGCGATAACAACCAGAGGAAATGGTGCAAAAACGATCGGAAACTGAAGGAGACGGGTAAAATTCTTGGAAAAATATATTGAAAATGCATGAAATGCAGGAAACGAGAGGAAATGGTACAAAAAGCCATAGAGGAAAGCGGTGAAAATGGTAGGAAACATGTAATAAGAAAAATTGGACAAAACACAGTGAAAACCTACAAAAGAGAAGAAAGTAACCACAGGAAACGGTAGAAAAAACAGTGGAAATTGGAAGAAAAATTGTGACAATATTAGGAAAACGGTGTACAAGCTAGGAAATGCTTGTAACAACTAGAGGAAACGATGTAGAAAACAGTACAACATGGAGGACACGCGTGAACATGCTAGGAGGCATGTAACATGTTAGAAAAATACAGTGAAAACCTAGGAAAATGTTATAACTAAAAAATACTTTAAAATATATAGTGAAAACCAAGACAATGTCAACGAGCGGAAACGTTGAGCAGGAAATCCGATTTGGTTTCTGTAGATAATGTTAGATGATGAGCAATGTAGTTTGGTGATAGGAAATAATGGCTGACTCGCGTACAAGACATTGCCATGAAACCTTGGAGCAAGATGCGGATGGTATAGGAAAAAAGATGTATGAGTTGTAAGATTTTAGGAGATACATGGGAAAATTGGTTTCATGGTAATCTGTGTGAAGTTAGAAAGTGTGATTTCGTTCACAAAGTAAGAAAAATAAATGCAATCTGCAGATTAGAATACTTATAATGCTTAAAGCTGTTTGACGTTTTTTGGTGCCTCCCTGATTCTGGTAGTTTTGTGACAAGAGCTACAAAAACGATCTACTGGTAAACGGAAGGCTTTCGTTATCGATCAGCAACCTGGCTTACTCTGAGCCTGGCTCCCGTTTTAGAACTGAGTCGACTGTCAAGTGATGCATAGGCTCCAGGCCTCTGGTTATTGTCACAAAGCATTGGAATGAAGATTGCGCCCAGGAGCCACCTAGGTTAGGAGACAAATGCTGTAATATCATTGTAAGAGGCCGTACTGAGAAGGCGGAAACAGAACTAAAAGTGAATCTTGTACTAAAACATTGAGAAAGAATTTGAATCTTCTAATGGCAATGACGGGAATGATATGCATCTGTACGTCCGTGATAGAATGTGTGCCTTTTAAAAGGGATGTTTGGCGAGTGTGGTAGCTGAGAAGATTTTCCGGGATGCCAAACAATTATCTCTATCGATGTCAGGGATGATGCTATTCCGCGACATTTCCTGTAAAATACCTATTTTCCAGACCCTTGGGGGGTGGGGGGGGGTACCCAGGTCTGTAAATGGCCTAAATATATATACTTTTGATTTGGACTGCATGTTCGCCACTGTTCTATATTTCCCGTGGGTTTTGCATTGTTTTCCTCGATTTTCATTCGTTCTTATACCCTTTCTTACGTATGTTATAATATTGTCTTGGGTTTGCACTGCCCATTTTGCGAGTAGAGCTATGTTTTGATTTCTCACCGTACGGCCAAAATGTTGCGGAACTTCGCGGAGAAGCATGGACCACGATTCTGGGGAGAAAACAATTTAGACTTTGAGAGGTCACATGACCACTGTTCACACAAAAAAACGGGTATTATTTATCTACAATAGGTGGGAGCAAACTTGCGCTGTTTTAAGATAAATGAGCAACCAAAGGCGGATTTACGGAACTTGAGATAGAACTTTTCACAATGCCGCAGTACATTGTAGGAAACATATTTGGATATAGAAGTTACAAAATCGTGGAGTTTACCCTAAAAAGGTCCATTTAATGATTGGAAAATTATGACCCGATAGCAATTGTTGATGTTGGGGCGCTTCATGTTTGAGCCATGCCATATGGATGAGGTGGAGTTTCACACGCCCCCGCGCGAGTCAAAAAGCAAGCGCTGGCTTTCGTTCCACCCCTTCTCAGGTATAAATATAGAGTTGTATAGCCAACTGCAGTTTGGGAGTTATATATAGCCATATCTATCCATAATCATTGGGGTTTCTGATGGGATGACCATTGCCCAAGGCAACGGCCATTTTTTCTTATCTCAGATTTTTTGACACGACTTGCCTGGGTAATTTCAAGTGAACTAAATTAGCGAATGTATACGAAAGAAGCATCTGGCACAATGCGCTATTTACTCATTGATCATTGTTTTCATGATTGGCTAATGTTGGTTAAACCTCCATAAAGTTAGATTAGGCTACGGATCATTGTAGCGCTGTTTTTTATGTTGCTGGGATTTATGATTTATGGATATTTATAGATTTTCATTCCCCCGTTGCGACCCAAAGGTAGAGGCCTTTAGCGTGGAACGAGCGCAGTCCTGTGACTTTGTGCTGATGGCAGTCTCGGGTACCTTGCCAGCGGTGGGTTTCTGTCTCGGATCTCGAGGGAATAAAAGGTACAGTATTTGATGTATCTTGGCGTGTTGCTTACCCGGCCTGATAAACGTTTACATAACGAACTGGAAAATCCACCCATTTTCTAGCTGGGTAAATCCACTATTTCGACTGGGCCATTTTCAATAGCTATGTTAAATTACCAGAGGGTACATCCCTACTTTTGGATACTTTTCTTGCTTCGAACTACATGTGGACTGTGGATTTATGGTCTAACGATTCTTGCTTAGAATCAAGTGGAATCCCATTGTTGGGGTCGTTAAATATGCTTCAATCTGGCTCGCGATTCCGACAAAGCCAAAAATCTCCAACCTGGTTGGCTTTCACGGGCAGCCGAGGCAGCTTCAGTACTGAGCAGCTTGGCATGTCAGTTCGAGAAACCCATTACCGAAATTCCAGGAGTTAGATTCGGGACATGTTTTCCAATTCGAATATCACATATACAGACTCAGAGTGGGCTCCCCTAGATAGCCAAGTTGGTTCATAACTCCAATAGCTATAGTTTATGATTACTTATAACATCTTATAACTATAGTTGATGGGGTTTATCTTTTCCAACTTATAACTGGGGGGCCCACATTGTAAGAATTCGCTACCCTTTTTGGGAATGTGGTTCTGCGATTCTGCGATTCTGCGATTGGGCCTAGGGTCAATCCACATGGGGATCTTTCCACACGTCTGAGGTTCTCCCCTCAGATTACGGGCAATGGCAAGACCGTGGTCATTGACAACTCCAGCGCCTTCAGATATCATGAGGATGTGCCGTGCCATGGCGAATCCACTGGATCCACTGGAAATTCCGAATGGGACGACTCGGTGGAGTTTTTGTTTGTGAAAAGAATAGAAGCCCCAATAGATTTTAGGTGGTTTAGGAATTTTGATATACCCAGATTCTTGGGATGATTGAGAAAAATAACCCGCAAATGGTTGATCATGTTGATCATTGGGCATGGTTGTATGATTTTTCATGGCATTGTACCACATTGGTTCGTGGTCAAGAACCCTTGTCAATCAGTTCCTGAGGTGTTATCAAATGTATTGAAGGGGTTACCCTCTGGTAATTTAACATAGCTATTGAAAATCACCATTTTCAATGGGAAAATCCACTATAAATGGCCATTTTCAATAGCTATGTTAGTCATTACCAGAGGGTATTTTTATTATGCCCGAATTTGGTATACGCACTTTCCAAAGTTGATGATCCTGCAAGCAGGTCCAGTAGAGGTGTGTTGTTGGTCGTCAGCAGTATACCAAATTATCCCCGCCATCACATTCTTTAAAAAGGGGTACATACACACCCTAAATTTATCTAAATTTGACATGGAACCCCAAACTGTGGTTGAAAAGCAGCTGATTGTCCGATTGGATACTTTTTTTTTCAATAGGTTCCATGTTAGATCCTAGCTTATTGGGGTTTATAACCGTTGTTATAGTATAGTATAGCCATGTTATCTCAACTGCACCACCAGTCGTCGGTATCCAAAAAACTCCAGGTTGGTGGTTCCAGAGATCAATGAGTCCCTTGACTTCGAGACTGGCCATTTTTTTAAAGCCAAGATTCTGGACCCCGCGGCGGAAGATTTTTCTGGGTTTATGATGGTTTAAGATTGGCTCATATCAGTTAGTTGATATTAATATATATTAATTCGGTTCAGAAATCCAGAAACCTTACAATCCCCATGTACTGGCTGGGTTGGGAGCTGGGTTATCTATTCGCAAAGCGTGTTAGAATGACGTGTTCCAGAAACCGAAAACAACAGCAACTTCTATTCCGGCACATAGACCATGCTTGGAATGCACGGGCATGCCATGTCAAACGTACTTTCCATCTTCCTTGGTGATCAAATCATGTCATGTCCCACATCATCTAGTAACATCTAGTAACCCTTGAAAGACTGGATCTGTGCTTTGATAAATCTAATGCCCTTGTTATCAAACTCCTGTAGAAAATGAGACCGTCACCCAGATATCCATCCATTCATCGAGGCACTCGAATCATGTGATCAACTGATCATCGATGTTTCACAGAAAACAAGGTGAACACAATTCACAGATGAGTATCCTGTGTTGATTTTCAAGATATCCCATATAAATCCAGCCATCAGTTTTATGTCCAGCCATCATTTTTCCATAGTCTATCCTCCTCATCATTTCCACGCCCAGGTCTGCGATGGATGGCAAGCTGTTGATCGCGAACCCCAACTGCACCACGGCCATTGCTGCTATGGCGCTCTGGCCGTCCGGATCCCCATGGGAGTGATCCCTGGGATCCCCCAAGGAAATGAGGCTTTTTCCATGGACACGACTCATCAATGGGAACTAATTATGAAATCAATGGGGATGATTTTGATGGACTAAAAACCCAAAACTAAACATTCACATAGCGAGAATTTACAGATGATTGACCTACCTACGAAAGGTTAGAAATGGTGAATTTCCATAGCTTTTTTAAACTACCAGAGGGGTATTCCGATTTTGTGACTCAATGATTTTGAGTCATGCCAGATCAGCAAAAACATTGGGATTCGCCGCAAAAAAAGGCTCGACACATTGAGGCTGTGATGAAAAAACTGTGGATGCGAAATCCTGCAGTTGGAAACAATGAGGTAACTATGACACACTGTAAATAATGGCTTTATAATGGCTTTATAATGGCTTTATAATGGCTTTATAATGGCTTTATAATGGCTTTATAATGGCTTTATAATGGCTTTATAATGGCTTTATGAGATGGTTACCATCTCCAAGCATCAGCTTAAGCAGCTTCTTTTGCTTTTTTTAGTCATCGTGGGATTCCGGAAAAATCCCCAGCAGATGTCAGTCGTGTCGTCGGTCTATGGGAGGCTGCACCAACACTTCAAGCTGAAAAAAATCATCGTTTCGACCTACCAGGCGGACCGACTCCTGGGATTCCAAGCCAGTTTCTAGGGGAAATGGTGGTGTCAAAACATTTAAAAAAAAAACCATAAAGAAGCCATGGAAACTGGGGTAAACTATGGTAAAGTAATCATAATATATAGATATATATCATAATAAATCACTGCTTGGTGGTTTCAATTATTTTTGTATTATCCATAATATGCCATAATATGTTTCACTAACATAAATATGGGATATATCAATTGATTTTTTAAATGATTTTTTAATATTATCTTACTGGTTAGTATCCATAATATATGGGATAATCCTTCCCATTGACTAATATTTTTCAAGATGGTTATTGCACCACCATTCAGCTTAGAATCTCGAATCTCAGAGACTTTGCGCAGATTCATTATTCATGGCGTTCTGTATTGTCACTGCCCATGTCACAATATTTCAATCTTTTTCAAACATGACATTCCTTGCATAAAGTTACATCATTTTGTGCAGTCCCCTTACATAAAGTACTGCAACACTTCTTCGAAAGGAATAGGCTTATTTTCAAAAAGACTTGCAGCTGTGCAAAGTTATAAAGGAGGGCATTCCTTTAAAAGGAATATCAAGTTATTTTCAAAAAGACTTACAGCTGTGCAAAGTTCTTTTAAAGATGTAAAGGAATCTATGGAAGGAGGACAGCATTATTTCAGAATGGTATCCTTTGAGTACTCATTTTAAATGATTGTGTTATTCCTTCAAAATTTGGTGCAAGTGTGGGCAAAGCTGCCTTGACAAGGGGGTGAACTATTTGATTGAACAGCATGCAACAATACAAGCATTACTAAAAGGTAGAGCTCTTCGGTGTATGTAGTATTTGTTGAAAGAGACAGGTCATGGTTGTATGTGTGCAATCCCCTTCCATGTAAATAAATCAATGCCTAGCAAAAACTTCAAACAACCTCCGGAACGCTGATCTTTGGGGGGGGGTAGCAATCATCAACAAAATCATGCTCTATTTTCGAGGGTAAACCACCGTGTAGGTTTTGGATTTGACAAACGTGAGTCCAGACCGGAAGACAAGCTGCGGCCTGAAAGGTCAGCCCTCCTGGAATTGACCAATTCTGCGACAGACCACACACTTTTTGCCTCAGCAATTGACGGTTCAAACAGTTCAAACAAGATTGAACTTAAAATGTTCGGCCTTTGGTAAGGCATCACTGCATTTACAATTCAGTTGAGACACGTCGTCAAACGTCCGACGTGTTTTCCCGAGAAAGACCGGTTGAAGCGATGAGTGGAAAAGGCAGCTGGAAAGGTGGCGGCAAGGGATGGCATTCTGATGGGGACGAGACCACTGTAGTTCTCACAGGTGTGCCCAAGACCTTAAATGCCGAAATTCTGCTGGCACTTCTGGATGAGGAATATCTTGGTTGCTATGACTATTTTTATTTACCCATGGACATGGACAAGTTTGAGAATACCGGCCTAGCATACATCAATTTCCGAGACCATGACAGGGCGGTGGAATGCCAGCGGCATTTTGCAGGCTACAGCGCTTGGCCCGGAGGGCATTTCAGTGAACGCACCTGCAGGGCTCAGTGGTCCTCTATCCAGGGATATGAGGCGAACATCCAGAAACAGCAAAAGTTGAATGACTGGGTGAATTCCAACATCCCTGAGGATTGCAAGCCCATGGTCTTTGATGAATATGGAACCCGCCTGCCCACCATGGACATTTTTCCGCCCTGGGACTCTCAGGTCTATCATGGATGGAGGAGCTCCGAAACGCCGGGAAAAGCTCACGTCACCGGCGTCACTGCTTCAGGTGATAATTCACGTGATGGTTCAGGTGATCGCTACCGGCCGTGGAAAGACGAGTGGATGTCTCGTGGCAGTGGCAACGCCGGCGGCTACCGGTCTGACGAATGGAGGAACAGCCCTTGGTCCAGCGACTGGTCTGGTGGATCTCGGAAAGAGCGATGGTCTGACAGCTGGCGCAAGGAGAACTACGACAATGAGAACTATGAGAACTATGAGAACTATGAGAAGTATGAGAACTATGATCGCAAGTGGGACCGTGACAAACATGATTCGCAATGGGAAAGATCCGTCCGCTGGGTTGGCTGGAATGGACTTGATGAGTATGATGAGTGGTCCAATGGCCAGAATGGCCAGAATGGCCAGCATGAGAGCCAGAGACTAGTTGTGATGGAAGAGACCTCAAATGAAAATGCAGCCTGGTCTTGGCAAGGCTATGCCAATTATGCAGCCGCTGAGGGACTTCGGGGACTTCCGGGACTTGCGGGACGTCGGGCAATTCCTGCTGAAGATACTGAGACGGAGGAAGCAAACATCAAACCTTGGAGTCTTCAGGTGGAAGGTGCTGGGTATACAGTCTCGAAGGACACAGGAGATCTCAATGCCAAGTTTTCTGAAGTTTTCCAAAATGATCCGGATCCAAAAGCTTCAAGCGAACTCCCAACTTCTGAAGCTGACAAATCTTGTGAACCAGAAGCTTTGGCTTCACTGGTGGCAGTGACGAGATATGCCTGCCCCTGCTGCAATACTTGCTTTGCCAAGTGGTCCGCATGCCAAAATCACATTTTCAGTACGCCAAAGTGTCACAAGGAAGTGGTGAATGGCCCTGAGGCAGATGTTACAGACCTTCAGGCCCGGTGCAAGGGAAAGGCAGAGGAATTGCCACCTGAGTTGCTGAATGGCCCGAGTGGCCCGAATGCTTCTGATGTGGATGCCACTACCCGGCGTTTTCAGTGAAGCTGCAGTTGGCAGCGCTAATCGATGGATGAAACATGACTTCATGTGGATGTGGCGTACCTGTTGAAAATCGCCTTGGCAAGTCTGAGCAAATAAAATCAAATAAACCCAAAGATGTCATTGAAACAGTCGCCTACCCCACATTCGCCTCGATTTTTTCCTTCAGGGCACTTGGACGCTTGGAGGGATGCGTCCCAAACACGTTCCATGATGTTCCATGTTTCCACCATTGTCATCATCCAGACATGTTCCACCATTTTTGCTTCTTCAATCCCATCAAAACAATCCCATCAAAATGCTGCAAAATTATGATTCAGATAAATCATGCAAATGATAAACTATAAATAATATCAAACATTTCATCTGATAAATCATCAATTACCATCTGGTTATTTAACATAAATATGGGAAATCACAATTTTTAATGGGAAAATCCAATATAAATGGGCCATCTATACCATGGCTATGTTAAATAACTAGAGGGTATATTTTATTTAATAAACAGCCATGACAGCCATAGGCCGCCAGTGGAGCTGGCGCGCAAGGGATGACAGAACTGGAGGAGGGGACGCGGCAAGCGCTGGAGGGGAAGGTCTTTCCCAATGAGGCGCGGCAAGAATTCAATGGAAATGACATGGCTTTGTATGTTATTTATTGTTATAAGTTATATTGTATAAATTACATATATATATTATATTATATTATATTATCTTATATTATATTATACTTATATTTATATTTATATTTATATTTATATTTATATTCTACTATACTATATTATATTATATTATATTATACTATATTATATTATATTATACTATACTATATTGTATTATATTATATTATATTATATTATACTATATTATATTATATTATATTATATTATACTATATTATATTATATTATACTATATTGTATTATACTGTATTATACTATATTATATTATATTATACTATATTGTATTATACTGTATTATACTATATTATATTATATTATATTATAATTATAATTATAATATATATATATATATGTTGAGAATTAGCCCATATACTCTTCATGGGGATATCAGCATCAAGAGTCGATTCATCCATCAAAAACGGGGATTCAACCATCAACCATTAGGATTTATCGTGTGATCATGGAACAAATGACGATATCAGGGAAATTTTTGCCGCATATTCAATGGCAATATAATGGAATATTGTATGTAAATGTATGTAACCAATTCTGATATTTGGGTTTGTCTGAAAAAGGGGATGGCACCCCAATGTTTTTTTGTTTTTTAGATACGAAGCTGATGATAATCCATAGTGAAGTTGTGGGTCGGACAGAGTTGGCCATTGTTGCTTCTGACTTTTTCACCGTGGGGATCTAGCAGGCTTCAACTATGTTGATATCAACATGATATCAACCAGAATCAACAAGATATCATGGGTATACAAACAATAAAACTGCTGACAGCCACAGGTCGGTATTATGATGAACATCACCAAACATCGCGAGGGCTTTAACTGGTTTAACGATGTTTAACGCCAGAAGAAATCGCGATTCAGAAATCATTGGGATGGTCGAGATGTCGTGGACAACGAACCAGTCATGGCGAGATAGTTCGAGTGTTTCCTCACCGCTGATGGGGATTTTTATGGGTCAAGTCATTGGTGCACCTGTGGACAAATGCTGGATGTTTGAATCCAGCAGTGAAGTGTGAGGTTCTTTGGTGCTTGATATTGCAGGGGTTGGTAGATGTTCTAATTGAACATCACCCAAATATTGGAGATATAATCATATATAATCTCCAACAGATACTTGTTTTAGTGATGTTCAAAACCCCCAAAATGGAACAATTACCAACCCCTGTATTGTGGACTGAGGGAGCCCCAAAATGGTGGGTTAGGACCTAAAGAATTGGTGACATCTTGGGACTGTGTTTCCCACAAGAGCACTAGACATCATTCCAAATGGGCTTTGAACCAGGTGTAGAAATTTGAATGAACATGGTTTTCAAACAGCAACTTGCTTTTCGGACCATCTGACATACCGATTTTTTTTTTTTTGTGGGGAAACATCTGTGGGTTATAAAGATTCAACATGGCAGTTACTAATCCAACACCCCCAAAAACCTGCCAAAACCTGCCAGGTTTTTGCCCATCCCTTGCCCTTCAACGTCATTCCACACATCGACAGTTTTCAGAGCAACGGCTACACCAAGGTGCGGATCACCGGTCCTGGGTCCTGCCGTGTGGATCACCGGAATCGTGGTATGTCGTCAGTCCCAAAAGAGATACGCCGAAAAATGACGAAAACGATGGAATCTTCACTTAAGTTTAATGGGGACTTACCAAAAAAAACATTTTTTTTGGATGTGGATTTACTTTTCTATCTTTTCAGGGATGATTATAAGTTTAATAGAATAGCCACCTTTGAAATCTTCCATTTTAATTGAGTTGTAGCCTAGACCTTTGGACAAGTCCCTCCATTTGAACCCCTAATGCCCACAGCCAAGAGGAAGAGATGAAAGTGGTGTGGGAGACCCAAAAAATCTTCGGTGACAAGAGCCTCTTGGCTGAATGATGCTGAATGATTCGCATCAGTGGCAGCAACCCTCACAGGGTTGCTGCATGCTATGTTGTCTACATTTCTTCGTTGTGTTACATACATCATATTTAACATGCCATATTATATTGCTGTTGATATCTCTATTTTGTTTGCTTGAATTTCCAAGTATGACCCCGAACAACCAGAAACACATCGCTACTTCATCATGGATTGAAGACTGGTGGTAAAAAACACCATGGATTTCTGGTGATAGGAATCACAGGGAGATAGTTGTAACTGGGGGACCAAGATGGGGTCCACAATTTCCAGCTACAGTTCTTGGATCCTTGAAGTCGGTAACATCCCCAATATTCCCCAATCTAAACCTAAATGGGCAATATATCACTAACATGATTCGGATGAGGCATATCATTGGGAACATGTATTGGAAAGATTCATGCTTTGTGATTTTTCAGTTTGTTCCAATGATTATAGTGAATCTAGCCTCCGGTAATTTTTTTTCCGTGGCAACGGGAAATCCCTAGAAATTTATAGCTGGTAACATCCAATATTCACCAATGATCAATGGGAGATCTTCAGGATCCTAAAATGGAGGTACGTAAACGTACCATATATAAGGCCTATTTTGTCAGGCCTAAATTTCAGGGAATATCCCCACAATTCATATGGCCAAACATATGGTACTAGTACTAACGTACCTCCATCAATTGGGTCCTGAAGATCTCCCATTGAAATGATCGGATGAACATTGCGAGGTCTCGCCTGCAGCTGCACCGCCGTGCGCATTCCCACCAAGCGTGGGGATCTCCCGAGGGGATCCCTTCGGATTGCTGACAAACAGCTGATAGTTACGAAAGCGTACATGGGCTACATTGGCTACATCTCATATCACATCATATCCCATTCTATTGCAATTTAGTAAAATTTAGTACATGGGCTGCATCCTCAGGTTTTCAGGTTTAGGAAACCTCAAGTCAACAGGGCGCCATTCTTTGAGCTTTACAGTACCATTGCCCATGAATTTTCACGAAAGGCCAAGGCGTGCTTGGAGAAGCCTCTGGCCCCTACTCATCAGATACTACAATATACTTCAATATATACCATTTATAATATTTATATAATTTATATACATAGAATATTAATTATAGATTGTGTTGGCAGTTGGCATATATTGGCCTACACATATTATAAATATTGCAGTTAAATTGTCAGTAGCGCTGTGATTTTTTGTGATGGAAAAATGTAGATCCCAGGGTCCCTGGTCAGGCGCTGGTATCTCCTGAGGATCCTCACATAAATCGACTTTGTTTATCTCATCAAAATATCAAAAAATATATGTGATAAAATCATCAACAAATATGAATATCTGTATAAAAATATCAAACTATCTCTATGAAACATATCAATTTCATATTTTTTTCCAAAAAAATGAACATATCTCTGTAAAGAATATCAATTCCCCAGGGCAGGTTTTTCCACCGACATTCTCGCTGATCAGGTGCACATTCCGAAGCCATCACCATCGAGACTGAGAAGGTGTTTCTTCAGCATTCCAGCTGGGGAACTGGTAAAGGCAAGGTTGATTTTAGACATTATATATATATGCATGTAGCGGGTTTCAGAATAGATTATATAATTATATATATGCATGTAGCGGGTTTCAGAATAGATTATATAATTATATATATGCATGTAGCGGGTTTCAGAATAGATTATATAATTATATATATGCATGTAGCGGGTTTCAGAATAGATTATATAATTATATACATGCATGTAGCGGGTTTCAGAATAGATTATATAATTATATATACATGCATGTAGCGGGTTTCAGAATAGATTATATAATTATATATATGCATGTAGCGGGTTTCAGAATAGATTATATAATTATATATATGCATGTAGCGGGTTTCAGAATAGATTATATAATTATATATATATGCATGTAGCGGGTTTCAGAATAGATTATATAATTATATATATGCATGTAGCGGGTTTCAGAATAGATTATATAATTATATATATGCATGTAGCGGGTTTCAGAATAGATTATATAATTATATATATGCATGTAGCGGGTTTCAGAATAGATTATATAATTATATATATGCATGTAGCGGGTTTCAGAATAGATTATATAATTATATATATGCATGTAGCGGGTTTCAGAATAGATTATATAATTATATATATGCATGTAGCGGGTTTCAGAATAGATTATATAATTATATATATGCATGTAGCGGGTTTCAGAATAGATTATATAATTATATATATGCATGTAGCGGGTTTCAGAATAGATTATATAATTATATATATGCATGTAGCGGGTTTCAGAATAGATTATATAATTATATATATGCATGTAGCGGGTTTCAGAATAGATTATATAATTATATATATGCATGTAGCGGGTTTCAGAATAGATTATATAATTATATATATGCATGTAGCGGGTTTCAGAATAGATTATATAATTATATATATGCATGTAGCGGGTTTCAGAATAGATTATATAATTATATATATGCATGTAGCGGGTTTCAGAATAGATTATATAATTATATATATGCATGTAGCGGGTTTCAGAATAGATTATATAATTATATATATGCATGTAGCGGGTTTCAGAATAGATTATATAATTATATATATGCATGTAGCGGGTTTCAGAATAGATTATATAATTATATATATGCATGTAGCGGGTTTCAGAA